CAGTGGACTTCCCCGACAGAGTAGGAGCCTCCTGACTAACATCAGACGAACTGCCTTTGCTCTCGATGATGGCGTTCAGATAGCCAACAGGATCAGTTTGCTTCAAGAGTTCTAAGTCTTCTTTCGACCTATGCTTTGTTGAGGTGACAACCTTTGCAACAGCGTTGTCTTGGGTTTGAGGCTGTTGAGTAGCATTTGCCTCGACTTGACTCTCTTCGACTCGGGCTGCGGCAGTACCAGCGTCATCATGGTCCCCTTCGCCAGCGTCACCTTGATCCTCTTCGCCAGCGTCATCGCGGTCCCCTTCGTCACGATTTTCTTCCGACAGATCCACCACCTGAATCTCTTTTGGTTGTTTCCCTTCTGTTTGTGGATCTTCTGTTGGTTGTTCTACTGTCTCAGCATTGGCTTCATTTATTTCAGTATTGGCTTCATCGTTCGCCAAGTCTTTTTCTTGTGGCCTGCTGAGTTCAGCAGAATCCAATGTTTCAGAAGTCCTTGGCGCTGAGCTTTCAGTGGTGTCCTGAAAAAGGGAGAAGAAGAATCTTTTAAATTCGAAAGAGACATAATTGAACGTGGGTATCGACACCTGAGTTAAAAAGGGATCAAAGAGATTACCTGCAAAGGAGCTTCAGCCCCAGGGATGGAATTGTCGCTTTCGACAGGTTTATTGAGAAGAACATTTAGTTCCTCCTCCGTTGGCTCTTCAATGATTACTGGAGGTGGCCTGGGCTTTCTCCCAGCAACCTTTATTCTGATTGTTCGAGCCTCAGGAAGAGGAACGTCCTTCTTCAGCTTTCGCCTTTTTAGAGGAGCAGGGGGAGAATCATCTTCTTCGTCACTCCCAGATTCGACCGTCAGTGCTGGCCGTTTCTTGGGCGAAGGTGCCTAAAAAACCAATTGGAGTTCGATTTAGAAGTTGCATCGAAAGTCCGAAAGTTAAATCCAGAAGAAAATAATAAAAGTCTGGTTACCAATGCAGAAGGCTTTTTCGAAGGGCCTTCCCCCTGTTGGTTTGTTGTGGTCTTCGTCGGTGCTATAGTCTTCGCCGGTGGTGGAGGTTTTGTTAAGGGGCCTCCTCCCTGTTGGCCTTCTGCAGCCTTCTTGGCCGCAGGCTTTCGAACAACTGAAAGTAGACAAAATAATTAACAGGATACCAGTCGAAAGGGAAAGACAAAGTAATTCGGAAAGATGAACTTACATTTCTTTATTTTGTCCAAGACAAGGACAAAAGACTTCTGAAGTTCTTCCACGAAGTCCTTCTCGTTGAAAAACTCCTCAGTGTAGTAACTTTTCCACCACTCCTCGAAGGATGGTAAACAGAGAAAGTTAAGCTGATAGTCAAACAACGAAAGAACTGTTCGACCAGCATATCTGCCGATATGCTTAGTGGCAGCGTCTTCAGTGTAGTCGTTGCAGAAGTATAACATAGACTTCTCCCTGGGAAAAATTGGAGAAGGTAGTGTTTGAATAATACCAAACTGGCGAGACACCAGGTTTGGTTGATACGCGATTAGACTCAAGTGAGTCTTGGAGCTCTTGAATCGCAGGGGCATTATTCTTGGTGTGAGAAATGCCTCCCACACTGTTGTATGTTCGTCGACCTGAGGACCACTCGACGCCCTAGGATGTGGCCTTGTGAACCACTCTGGGCCAACCTTTCGTCGATCAAACGGAGCCATGGTCGAAGCAAACTCTTTCCTTTTAGAAAACATCAAGACGAAGTTTGTAAAAGTTTGTTGAAGCTCCAGCCCATCTTCCGTTGGAGTCAACAGAGCCAATCTGGTGCCTTCGACGCATCTATTTGCTATTTCTGGAGCCTGCTCATTTATTTGAGTCTTCTGAGGCAAGAAAGACTCGAAGGTGGCATTGAGCCACAGCTGAAGCAGCCAAAAAGGTCCAGCAAGCAGCAGACTGGCTCTGTTCTCGATGATCTTCAGAAGAGTCGCTCCGTTGCTAATCGACTCGTACAGATTCGCCAAAATCAATTCTGCCAAACAGATATTTTGGCCATGGTGGAGTTGAGTGGCGAGAGTGACCATCTTCTTGGTCACCTGTAGAGACTTGGTGCAAAACACAAAGCGTGTCAGCCATAAGGCTAGAAACGCGATATGTTCTACGTCCGACACAGCGTCCGTCGACTTATCGTGGTAGTGATTGATGAAGGTGGTGTAGGTTGGTTTTGTGGCAAAGAATCCAATCTGATCCTCCGACATTTCCTCCGGGTCGAAGTAGTCCCCAGTGGGTCGAAGGCCAGTGATGGCGGCCACGTCGAAGAGCGTGGGAGTCAGCATTCCACAGGGAAGATGGAAGGTGAAATGGGTGTAATCCCAGAAGAGTAAAGAAGCTATCAACATCTCTGGGGAATAGTTAAGACCTGTCTTCGACAGCATAACCAGGTCGAATATCCCCATGTCTTTCCAGATCGAAGGCTGGCGTTTCTCCATTTTTTCCAGCCAAGCACTATAATCAGGAGTGAGGCTAGGGCCATACCTGAAAGCCCTAACACCTCTATTAAAGAAATGGAGGTCGATTTTCTCCTTAGCAGGATCTTCATTATCCTCTGCATCTTTCTTGGAGCATCCAGCCGGTTTGAGTCTCTCAAGTACCGGAAAGTAACTTTTGATCTTCATGGCTTCAGCAATGCTTGGGTATAATGGGCCAGACATGGCAAAGATTTGGTTGGAATATCCAACCGGAATCATGAGGTGGCGTGAATAAGCATCACGTACAGCAATGTCCAAAGGCTCAGGGACCCTTCGTTGGCCCGTGGGAGTCACTACGGGAGCGGTGGAGAAAATCCTAGGTTTGACATTTCCAGAGGGAGTGTTGGCGCTAGGAGCGTTGGAAGAACCAGATGCCATTGTTGATACTAAGTTTGAAGATGAAGTGGAGAACAGGTGGTTTGCAAAGGTTGCAAGAGTTTGTGTGCAATAAGGGATATCTGAAAGCAAGGTAGCGTGAAAAAGTCCCACAATGGGTACTTACCGCTATTTATAGTAGTTGGGGAAATCCCCAAATTCGAGGACATTAAATGCCATTTAATGTTGCAGAAGGTAGTGGGACACGTGGCGTCTCCCTGTTGTTGTAGCCGTTCTGCAGAAATGAAAGGGTGCAGCGTGCGCCCTCGTTTTTGGGAATTGTCATGATGACAATTTGTGAAACGACGTTTGGCACGCTGCACGCCGTACTGAAGTGACGTCTTAGGTACGGATGAAATGATGGCTTTTCCTTGGGATTGTCAGTGGTTGGTAGAAGACAAAAAAGGTGCACAATTTAATTTGTGACTAAGAATGAAAAGACAGGTGTCGAATGGCATTTCAAAGAATGCCTTTTTCTTTCACAGTCGAAATAAGGCATTCTTGGGGGGCAATTTGTTGGCTCCTAAATTCGACACCCTTGTTTTATTAATATCAGCCATTAAAGCTGAAGGATGTTTTCGACCAGCTGGGTCTGTCAAAATGCCCATCGAAAGGTGGCAATGTACTTAGAGGATTTCTTCCAAGGGAGAAGTTGGTTGCCTTCGACGTCGAAGGTGTTTCTCGTTGAAGATGCTTCTCGACGAAGGTGTTCGATGGTTCAGAGTGGAACGGTTTGAAATTCAAGCGTTTGGAGGGAAAACGGTTTCCAGCGGTTACCAAGTGCAACGTGCAAAGGTCTGGAGCGTCGAACGCTGAGAACGTGCCAAGTGGAGTCATCTCGAAGCAGTGTAACTGCCCGACGGTTACTTGGGATGTTTTAGTATAAATAGTAGTAGGTCACACAGTTTCTCGCGTGTGTTCACAATTATATACAAAGTCACTCATATAGATTCGAGTACCCAGCGTGTGAGAAAGAATTGTTGAGAATGTATGTGTGAAACACCACTTTTATTAATCAAAGTCATTTACTTTCCAGAAACTTTACTTGCTTTCTTCTTTACTTTTCTTGTCGAAGCCCTTTATTTCAAGCCTTCATTTATTTTATCAAGCTCATTTCTTCATGCAATTTACTTAAAGCCTCTTTATTTTCTTGTCATTTAACCATTATCCAACTTAATCAAAACCTCAAAATCAACCATGTCTTAGGATCAATCTGATCGATCCTGCGAGTAACCAAATAAGTAACCATTTGGAGGATCAGCGGTTGTTTACCAATAACCACGGTAAACAAGAGGCTGAGTTAGCTTTTACAAAAAGAAAAAAGAAGATGATCGACATATGCCGGTCTTGGTGCTACCAGATTTTACAAATATTTTTACAATGGAGATGGACGCTTCTAGTGTGGCCATTGGTGTAGTGTTGTCTCAGGATGGTCACCCGATTGCTTTCTTCAACAGAAAAATGTGTCCTCAAATGCAATCATCCTCAATTTATGTTTGGGAGATGTTTGTGATCACAGAATTTGTCAAGAAATGGCGTCAGTGTCTCATCGGTCAAAAGTTTCACATTTTTACTTATCAGAAGAGCTTAAGAAATCTATTTCTACAAAGAATTCAGACCCCAGAACAAAGAGATGGACTTCCAAATTGCAAGGTTTTAATTTTGAAACATTTTACAAACCTGGAAAATCAAATGTCATTGTTGATGCTTTGATCCGGAAGGACTCCCTTGTTGCTTGCTTTGTCTTCCCCGACTCTGAAGCTTGTGACCACCCTCTGCATATTTTATGCACATGACAATGTTGGAAAGCAGATAGTTCAGCAAAACACACAACATAATTGTTTTCATTTTTCTAATGGCATCCTTTACTACAAAGACAGATTCTTTCTACCTGATTTGCAACAGCTTCATCAACAGCTACTACTTTAGTATCATAGCACACCAACAACGACTCATTATGGTGTTAAACCAACCCTTGCAAGGTTACGCTTCTCCTTTTGCTGGCTCGGGATTTACCTAGTAGTCAAGAATATGGTTAAACACAACCACATCTACCAACAGAATAAATATGATATACAAAAGAAAAAAAGTTTGTTACAACCTCTCTTTATCCCTAGTAAAGCTTGGGAAGAACTTACCATGGATTTCATCACCCATTTACCTAACTCTTTTGAACACATTGTCATTTGGGTCATTTGTGATCTCCTTACCAAGTTTGTGCACTTCATTGCTCTGCCTACTAAGTTTTGTGCCAAAGCTCTGACATCTCTTTTTCCTGTCGAAGTCTTCTGCTTCCATGGCTTACCAAAATCTATAGTTTCAGATCGAGATCCCTTGTTCCTTAGGAATTTCTGGCACAAATTTTTCAAAAAACAAGGAACAACATTAAAATATAACACCGCTTACCATCCTGAGATCGATGGCCAAACAGAGGTAGTTAATAGATCATTGGAAATATACCTTTGTTGTTTGGTTGGGGATCATCCGCATAACTGGTACAAAGTTCTTCATCTTGCAGAGTACTAGTATAACACCTCGTTTCACTCTGCCATCAACATGTCTCTGTTCAAAGCGATGTATGGTCGTGACCCTCCGATGCTCTTGGACTATGTGAATGGAACCACTAATGCTGACTCTCTTGATGTTGCTCTGCAAACTCAACAACAAATCCTTTCACAGTTAAAACACCATCTGAAAATCAGCAGAACTAAAATGGAAAAACAAGCAAACCTAAAACACATAGACTTTACCTTTCAAGAAGGCGAATTTTGTGGTTTAAACTCCAGCTGTATTGTCAGAACAATGTCGCTCATCGCGTTTTACAGAAACTCGCCAAGAGATACTTTGGCACATTCAAAATCATTAAAATTGTTGGATTTGTGGCGTATCACATGGATCTTCCATCTTCATCTCGTATCCACCTAGTTATCCATGTTTCCCTCCTGAAACCTTACCATGGCGGAGCACCTGAGAGAGATCTTACACCTATTCCAACTCCTGACTGCATCCATTACGAAGAACAAGGCGTTCTTCCAACCCAGACCGCAACACAACAAGAGGTGAGTAAGAGTCCAAGGGAAGCAGTACACGCTCCCAACAAGAAGAAGAAGTTTTTGACATTTGAAGGAGAAGAGAAGTTTTCATATTTGTCAAAATGGGTTTCAGAAGGTTCTTTGAAGACAGAGAAAGATAAGAAACTCAAAGTGCACGTGAGAAGTATACAAGTAGAAAATGGCAATCTCAAATTGTGCAAGTCTCTTAACGTGGGGGTATCACGTGACTTAGAAGACCCCAAGTGGCCTAAGCAAAGTTTCGATTTTACCCTTCCATTTTCCAATGTCTCTTTTGATACGCCAACTGCAACGTTAATTCCAACATGCATGTGATGCCTTTCTGCTTTGGGAACAGCGGTTTCTAATTTCCCATCTACTCCCACGTGCCTCACTTCCCAAGACTCATCCTTATCACCTTTACAACTTGCACCTCTTCTGAATACCACTCCAATCAAGGGCAACGAATCTTTTTCATCTACTCACACGGTTAATCCCATTTCGTCTATGGGGTCCGGCCCAATCCAGAAATTACAAACCAGAGCTTTTTCACCTATGAACCTTGAGGACAAGATTCTTTATGAGCCAGAGAGTATTGTTATACAGAATACAAGGCCAATTAAAAAAAGAAAACCATTTATTTTACTAAAAGAATATATTGTAGACTAAGGGGTGTTATTAGCACCGGGTTTAAATATTATTATGTATTTTCAATTAAGTGGTTCATGGTCCATTTAATGTTTCAAACTCTAACTATAGTATAGAGGTAATGAAAAAAAAAAAATTATTTTATCTATTATCTTCTTATACAATGTAGATCTAAGATTAGTTTAGCATATTCTATCAAATCCTACTTTAATTATAAAATCATTAAGAAAAGTAAATATTAACAACTAAAGAAGAAATGGATGATCATATACCTTGAACGAATTAAGAAGAAGAACAACGATAATTAGAGTAAAATTTATAATAATGAATAAATAAAAAAGAAATAAAAACATAATAGAAATCACATTTTATCAACATATCAAACAAATTCTGAACATTAAAAAATACATTGGATTATTGCTCTTGGCCACATGACTAGTAGGTTAACCATAAAATTTTGCATATAGTAGTACAAATGCAAAACAATTTTAATTCTCCTTAGGGTAAACTATTATACCCATGCATGCACCTCCCCATGCTACAAGCTGAAATCTGCAATGTAACAAGCATGACAGTGTCAACACATTATGATGAAAAGTGTTACTACTATTATGCTAAAGATTTCAGTGCTAGTGAGATTTTGATGGCACTACCTATTTATATCTCTGATATTTGCAGCTTTATATAATATCACTATAGCCATTCCAGCTTATTGAAAGAAGAAAAAAGATGCTAAAAAATCTGACAAACTAATTTGGATTTTTGTTCTTCATTTTATTATGATCTGACACTTTGGATTGAAATTTTAATAGAATTGTGGTTGGGATAAATGAATCAAGACAAACTACTACTTGTGATTAGAAAAATTAAGTATGATTAATTTTTTTCAGCAACCTAATTAGTTGTGAGTGTTGTATCCTAGAATGATTGATTGATAGTGATGTGAAGTTGGCCAGATTCAATGAAAATGGATTTATATGAAACTAAAAAATAAGATTATTAAAAGTTTTATGACATGATGCTTACAATAAGATGAAAGGATGTGACAATAATATCACTTTCTTTTGAAAACATTTGATTGTCTCATATTATTAGCTAATTTTAAATTATCCATAAAGTATAACTTTTTTCACAAATATATTATTATTTATAATATTGTAAATTATCTTGACTTTAATAAATAAAATTTATGTTATAATAAAAATTAATGCATGTAATAATTTTCTTAAGAAGTGCATTTTACTTAAAAAATAAACTTATGATAATTTTTTTTTTTTAAAAGTAGTTGACATTCTCTAAAGTCGGTTAAAATAAAACTCATACGTTCTAATTTTAAAATATATATTAACTTTTTTAAACTTACATATATCAACAACAAATATTTAATGACAAATAATTTACTATAAATAAATATCATTTATATGATTGTTTCTATGTTTTTTCTTTTATATGTAAATTTTAAAAAATATTAATACATATTTTAAAATTAGAGCATTAATATCATTTTAATAGATATTATAAGAGGTGAGTCTATTTTTTCCTTTTTTATTTAATATATGTGACATTAAATGTAATATTTTTTAGATGAGAATATAGTTACTCAACCTAGAACAAACCAAAGATAGCTTCGCTTTAGTTTTATCTTGACTAATATTACTAGTAGTTTACTAAAATAGAAAAAGTACAACTAGGGTACTGCATGCATGCATTGTTTTTGGCAACTAAAAATAGTGTATTCATTAATATAAACGATTATTGATTGTGTTATTGGGGTTTGTATTGCATTGGAAGTTGCATTTGCTTCGATGTGCTGTGGTTCGTTTGAAATTGAAACAGTATTTTACTTTTTCTATTTTAAAATTAGTGTTGTTTGAGGTTTTTTATATGCATTAAAGAATATAATAATATTGTTATAAAATATTGTAATTTTTTAAATTAGTTTCATTAATATGTTAAAAATAGTATATATAAATTAATAATTAAAAAGCACAATGAAAAAATTATTATTATTATTATATTAAAAAGTAATAATGATATTCATTTTGAAATAATTTTTTTCTTTCTAAAATGATATTCATTTTAAAATGGAGGAAGTATTATATTTCACAAATGCCAACTGAGTAACTGTCATTAGGAGTGGATAATCGGTTGGTTTAGATTGAAATCAGACCAAAAATTTAAATCTGATACAAACCGCAGTTTTATTATTAAGGTTCAATTTCGATCAATAAAATTTCAATTTTTAACAGATTTGGTTTAGTCGGTTTGGCGGATAAATCGAATGGGTTAAGTCAATTTAATATTTATTGAGATAAATTTATAAAAATGACTCATCAATTATAAAATTCACAAATATTCTTCTTTTAATTTTTAAAAAAAAACTATTAAAATTTTAGATTAATTTAAAGATTTTTTTTTTATTATTGAAAAAATAATATTGTCACGTTATAACGTTTCAAATATCATTTGATATTAATTTGTTTATATACTTTAAACAATAAATTAAATAACACTCAAATTTTATATTGTATATCTTGTATTTTTGTAAGTATATAATGTCACCATTAAATTATAAAAAGGATAACAACTTGATAATATTATTGATCTGGACTAGGCCTACATTTATCCTACGAGCGAGAGGCCCAAAGACATCCCAAGTTAGGGATTATGGGGCAACTTCCCATCCAACCGTTGGGGGACGTGGCCCACAACCTCTCAACAGACATATCAAACTGCCCTCCGGGAATCTCGGGTCCAGCCTTATTCTCGCGGAGCAGTTGACCAGGGGGGAGTCCACTTGCTGGACTCCATACTCACGTAAACCCTGGCAGTTCCCGTTATTGGGCCTCTGCGTGGCCCAATAGTGGAGACCTTGGCCCAGCGCTGGGGGCTATAAATACCCTCTCTCACGAGAGGGTTAGGTATTCATTCATTCACACCTAAAACTCATACTTGTTTGTTCATTCCACTTCTCACTTTACCATCAGGGTGTCTTGCAGGTGCCCCCCCCCCCCCCATCTCATTCAAGCTCTGCCCGAAGTCAGCTGTGACGGTCCAACTCTGAGCAGGTTAGATCAGTGGCATCGTCTGTGGAAATCTAAGCTTCCCCGTCTTCTCTTCACTTAAAAGACCAAAGCTAAACAATCCCCGATTGTCATGGCTGACCAGACTCAGGACAACCAGAACGTCTGTGTCATCGACGTTAACAACAACATCGTCGACAATAATGCCGGCCTCGACAACGCCGGTACCGCCGACCATAACACGGTCTCTGGCGTCGACATGCTCGGACCTTCTAACTATAGGGACGGAGCCACGGCTTCTTCTTCATCAATCCCTCCTCGACTTGAAGAAGATCATCCACCTCCCATGAACTATCCACCCGTCCAATTTCATGAGGTCCCCATCCCCGTCGGGGTAGACGCCACGACCAGGGCATTGTTCGCGGCGATCAACCAAAACAATTATCTCATCTTCGCCCAGGGGGAAAGACTGAGAGCGCTCGAGGACGATCGAAGGCCCCCGAGAAGACACAGGAGACCTCAATCTCTTCCCCCTCGACAAGCGGACGAACGTCCCCAATCTCCCCCGTGGAGACAGAATCGGGACATCTCTAGAAGCCTGTCACCCCGACCACTCGGGCAACGACCCCCTTTGGAGAGGGAACCGCTCGTCGACGCAGGAAGGCGCAACTATGGCCCCTCATGGAAAGAACGAAGACCCCCCGGAGACAGACACGGGGGAAACCATCAACGATCATACCGCCCAAGGAACGCTCCGCGCGACCAGGGCCACCGCGATCGCCACTACATAGGATCTTCATCCTGCTCTCCCGAACGGAGTGACAAGGACGACCCCCGCGGTCCCTTGTCACAAGCTATCATGGAGGCGCCCATTCCCCCGGGCATGGAGAAGCCTCCCCACTTAAAGGAGTATGACGGCATCTCCGACCCGGTCGACCATATAGACGGGTTCAAAGCCATGCTCCACTACCACAACATCGGGGGACCAATCGAGTGTCAGTTGTTCCCCACGACTCTGAGGAAAGCGGCTATGGGTTGGTACAAAGGTCTCGCCCCGGGTTCAATTACCTCTTGGCAAAACCTGAAGAACCAGTTCATCAGCTTGTTCACTGCTTCGCGTCGACACCCGAAGACCGAAGCAGCGCGCTCGAGGCCATCATCCAGAAACACGATGAGACCTTGAGAGAATTCATTGACCGCTTCAACCGGGAAGCCATCCAGGTCCCCTGCATGGACCATATGAAGAGGTACCTGCTGGAGAGGGGGCTCTTCCCCGGCACCGAATTCAGAAAAGTTGTAAGCATCGAACCACCCCGTATGTTTGATTCCCTCCTCGAAAAGGCCAGGGACTATATGGACTACAAAGAGAGAGAAGCGGCCAACAGAGCCCGAGATCCCAGAAACCGTGGATCCAGCAGTAATCCGCAACAAGACATCGCCCCTCCTCGACGAACTGGAGAGAAGAGAATGGACGATAAACCCCGAGACGCCCGGGAATAGAGGGGGTCCTCAGGGAGATTCACCGAATACACTCTGTTAACGGCTTCCTGCGAGCGCATCTTATCGGAGTGCGCAAGTACAGACTTCATGGACGGCAGCGTGAAATGTCCCCGCCCCACTCCTACCAAACCCGGGGTGGACCGAAGCAAATACTGTCAGTACCAC